CTTACATAACACTAAGCTAAGCTTTCGCTACTCCAGCACTCTCATCACCCCTCTCTCCAGCTCTCACTAACATTTCCACCGATGTTTTTCCTTCAACAAGTCACCTCTCTCGAGATTTCAGAACGAGACTTCTACTTGAACAGAACAGTGAATGGTAAGAAATAACATTTCATCTCTCTGTAGAGTCCTTTCCATAATGCTGTCAGACGTGTGAGCGTGTCAGTGGCAAAAACAAGCACTTTCAATAGATGTAAATTGACAGTGCACAATTGTCTGAGGGGATTACATTGCAGCCTTTTTTGCTGCAGATTGTTGTTTCCATTTGTCACTTAGACACAGAAAAAATGGAAAATAGGGTCCGGGTTCTTTAACATGTAAGGATTCTCCCCTTCTCCTGTTTGCCAGACTAGGTGAGATTAATGTCCCACATAACGCAGAGCTCTGGGCCTGATGGAAACAGTGATATTTCTAACTTAATGCAAACTAATTCTGCATTCTGTGCACACCTTGTAAATCTACAGACAGCCTGTGTTCCTTCTGCAAGGCTGCTGACGACAGCCAGTGTTAGTGTTGTGTTAGCTCCATATGTCTGTCTGTTTTGTTGTCTGCCCATGCATCTGTCTGTCCCCCAGTATTGCTCTTGGTATTTGAAACTCCAGATGGATGAATGCAATTAGGTGTAATATGCTAAAAACTAAATGTCAACACATTGCCTTCTACAGCTTTAGCTCTCATTTGTTGCCTCTGTCGTGTCTGCCTGAATGGGCTCGTCTCAGTCTGAACATGGACCATTGAGTTTCTCTCATTAAACAGAGGACGGCTACTGTTTCCCCGCTTTCGTCTGTATCGACATTAGCTCCTGTGTTTTCTGTTAACAGTGTTTACAAAGTATACGGACATCAAGCCTCTTTTAAGTGCTTGGCACAGGCGGATGATGCAGTTTTGTGTCCTTAATGAAGAGCTGGTCACGTGAATGAAGTTAACTCTTCTTGTGAGCTGAAAATAAAGATTTAATTAAACTAAGTATCTTTTGTGTGGTGCAGAAACGTCTCATCAGCAAACTCTGAAAACAGAGCCACTTCCCTACTTTGAAGTAGTTTGATGTTTTCAGTGTAACCTGGGAAAAGATTTTTGATTGAATGGGTCCCCCAGCCAGCGAAACAAAAGACAAGGACACAGAGTGAGAGGAAGTGATGCGTAGGCCTGTCATCTTCTGTAGTTTCTCCCTCTCCGGGGAGCCAGTTAAACACACATCTGAGCCGCACTATTCAGGCTGCACGGCTCAGAGTTGGAGGCAGTGGGCTGCAAACAATGAGTAACATTTGGGAGCAGTCATTTTGCACAATCACCACCAGTATATGAGTTGCCAGGATGGGAGGCATAACTCACACAGAAGGCGTTAGAAAATGTGTATATGAACATAGACAGAACAAATGTATGGCCTTTATCTCAGAGAGGATGTGACACTATATTCACCATCACGATCCATTATGTAAGTGATCCAGATGTAAATCAGCACCATGGTGTTGTTTGGCCTTAATCCTATATGTCCGTTTTGAATTAAGTCTTGCATCAGCTTCTTAGGGTCCAACATGATTGCTGCTCGGCTCAGGATAGCCTTACATTTAAACTATGTGACACTCTGGCTGCAGCTCCACCTCAGATGGTGGTGGCGAGGCAGGTATTTTTGCCTTCGGCGGCATGAAATGCTTTGTGATGCGAAAATTGGAACCACCTTTAAGAAAGGACAGAGTTATCACAGACACACTCCTCACTTGTGCCTCCCAACTCACTTTTTGGCATCTTCAGAAACTGTCCTCACTTGAGACTAACTGAAAATAGGCTACACATGTTTATTCACTAGTATTATTATATTTCTCTACTTGCGACAGCAACCCATGACTTAAGGGGTTGAGCGCAGTTTTACATGATGGAAGGGTTCATACTTGATTGGATAGATGTATGTATGAAAAATACCAAGTATACAGTTGACAGGAAGAGAAAACAGGGATTTTGATATGTACACTCTTAGAAATCCGAGTTCTTCCTGAAGGGCTGAAGTTCTACCTAGGACCATTTGCTTCTGAAGTACCCTTTTTGAAGAGAGGGTTCTTCAGGGGTTCTTAGTAAGACTAAAGTCCAGCTCAGACTAAAGATTTGGGACGAGACGAAACCGTTTTAGAACATTGCAGAGAGTAGTTGCTGTTTTGTGAACTGGCCAGTATGAGCTCGACTCAGGCTGGCTGATGGTGTCACCTGCAACTCAGCTGGTCAGATCGCTGGCAGCTGGTTTCAGAACTTAAAGCACATCATCTGTTTCTACAGCCAATCAGCTTGTAGTGAAGTCCGTTGGTCAAGTGATCACAGATGGCGTGTTTGCTTGCTGCGTCCCCACTGAGCCTGTTTCTGTCCTTAAGGTGTGCCATTGTCGGGTCTGAATCTTTGGTCTGAACTGGGTATAAGGGTTCCAATAAAAACCCTTTTAATCCAAAGAACCCTTTTTGGAAGAAACAGTTCTTTGGATTGTTGAAAGCGTGGGTGTTAGAAGATCCTCATTCTAAAATAAAATGTTTACCCATGTTTCAGATGGTATTTTTAAATGTAGATGTGTCAGGAATCCTCTAATCCATTCATTGTTTTGTGTTATGCAATAGCTGAAATCTTTAACTTCATTTCATGCCATACAACACCATATGGTCTTTTTTTAATGGATACTTGGCATCTCATATTCAGTTCTAATTTGGAACAGAGTTTTGGTTCCCAACGCAACTGCAACATTGAAATAGTGAAGGCTGTAGTAGTAGGTTTTAATGAAATCTCTACCCCCTAATAACATGATTGTGAACCATGAGTGTTGTGGGTTTTGCTGGATTGTATCAGCCTTGACCTTTTAGGAGCTTCATGAAACCCAGGGCTACTATGTGGTTCCCTTGGCCCGCTAAACTAAAACTATGAAGAATGAGAGCAAGATCTGTGGGTAAAGAAGGCAGTTACTATTTTTAGAACCCCCTGGGTGGATTCTAGATGAAACCCTTGCAATATATAGGGGATCTTGGAAGAGCATCCTGGATGGGTCCTTGTTTCCACCCTTAGAAGTCAGAAGGTTATGGATAGAGGGTTCTAGGTAAAGCCATAACACCATAGCAGTGTTCTCTGTAGGACCTCTCATAGAGGGTTCTGGGTGGGGATGGGATGGGAGTCCCAATCTGATACTTCTGTTTTCTGGTGCAGCTGATTCCTGTATTTCATTCAGTGTTTATTTTTCGTTGTCTGCACATCTTTTGCATGGATTAGGCTACATTAATATAAAACTCTTTTGTGTTTTTGCAGTGGTGTGGTGAGTGTAGTTGCTGCTGTTGCTGTCTCTCCTCCGCCTTCAGATAAACATCGTGAGCCATAAACGCACAAGATTTTCACACTGAGCTGAAATGAAACAAGGGCTCATAATTTTGGTGAAAACCATAAATAAACAATCTTGTACTGTGTTTTTGCTGTTGGTTATGGCCGTGGCGGGGCTCAGCCTCTGCTCTTACACATGCACGGGGAGCTCAGCAGAGTGGAGGAGAGAAAGAGAACAGAGAGTGGGAGACAGCTGCACTTAGCGTGTCTCTGCATGAAAGCTTTGCAAGTAAAAACACCTGTGTGACAGCTGATGTTAAATAAAAGATTGCGTTCTCATATAGCTCGATATACCCGATCCCGATTTGTTAAAAAATGCCTTGATCGGCCCTGATTGCGATCTTTGACATCGGATTGGGACATCCCTAGTTCTAGGTACAACCCTTTATGTTGGGTTCCAGGTAGAATCCTCTTAAAGAATTCTAGGTGTAACCTCTCCTATTGGGACAAACTGAAGAACCTTATATGGTTCTAGTTAGCACCCTTATTTCTAACAGTGTAAATGCTCAGAAATGGGACACATATTTGGTACATACAGTACCAAGAGATAACAGAATAATTAATGCACAGACACAGGATAACAAGTTGTAAAATGAATTTCTATTCCACTGTGTCTTTACAAAGCAAAGCTTATTTACATGAATTAGAATTTTCAGAGTGCATTTTCATGCTGCTGTTGGGATTCCTGCCACATGTCTCCACATGGTGCCATGGTTTGGATTTATTCACTATTTTATTGATTTAAACCTGCATTTGATTACTGTTCTTTTGGTCGCTCTGGGGCAGTGGAAAGAAGCTGTAAACACAACAATGACATATTATCACTTTTTAATGGGGAAACACCACCTAAATTAAGAATTAAGTATGGTATTTCCATGGCCAAGGAAAGTTCAATCAATATTTGTGAACTTGAGATATTCTTTCTCAAAGCCAGAGGTCTCAAACGTGTGATGTCATTAGATATAAAGTCTAGAAGTCTCCATAGACAATGACTGGGTGCCTAAATTTGTGGACCCATACCTTTGCTTTTTTATAGCCAAATGAGCTTTAATCTGTTGTAGCGTTCTCAGCTCTGAAACAGAAAATGTACCCACATATGCAGAACGTTCCCCTGGGTGCTCTCAGTGTCATTTAAAATATCTTTCTCAATTCATTGTTTATGGAGCAGCTCCAGACTTTATATACTGACATCACAAATTTGAGTTTTAGCACGATAGCTTTTGGATTTTTTAGAGAGTTGTTCATGTTTACCAATATTTTTGAACTGTCTCAGACCAAAGGAATGCCATGAAAGAATTTTAAAGTGGGCGTAGTTCCCCTTTAAGTTCATATGATAAACATGGTAGTAAAACATTCAGCTGACACAGAGCTACATTGTCATTCATTCAGAGTGGTGTTTCTGGCTCCCTGATGAATAAGTCCAATTTTGTTATTCATTCTCCTTTTTGACTCGGCTATGTCTCAACCTCAAATGTCTGTCTCTGTTTTGTAATGCTCCACTGTGTTCACCAGCTAGTCACTAACTGTCTGCTGTTTGGTGCTGAGCAGGTAACACACTGTGAGCTAATCAGAGCTTTTTCTGTTCTTTTTTCTCCCTTCAGGCAAGTATGTGTACCAGCCCATGACCAATGTGTGCCAGCTGCCCAGCACGACCGTGCCAGCTGTTGGAACAGAGTACAGTAACACCATGGACCTGTCCGTGTCTCTGGCTGAGCGCTTCCTGAAGCTCGCCCCCTGCTTCCAGTCCCCACCTCACCTGGAGTCACCCAAGTACTGCGTCATCGCGGATCTATTTGTGGATGACTACATTGTCAAACGTATAAATGGAAAGATGTGCTACGTGCAGCGCCCCCCGCCTCCCTTACCAGAACCACCTCATCCCCCAACACCTCCCCCACCTGCTCCAGCTACTCCTCAGAAGCCCCAGAATCCTGCTCAGCCTCGGCAACAAGTGAAGCCTGCGCCGCCAGCCCAACATACACCTGCACTTGCACCTGCGCCTGTGCAGCCGGTCCAGGTGTACAGTGAACACAAACATCCTTCCCCTGTGGATAAGATAAAAGGCCCTAAAATGGACCACTGCTCCTCCCCATCCAGCTCTGAGGACTCCGGCATCAACGCGCTGGGTCTGCACTACCTGGAGTCCTGCGAGGAGGAGAGCGAGGAGGAGGACGACGAGTTGAGCACAGACGGGAACTCCAGCCCCGGCAGTCTCTGGGATCAGGACGACTGTTCTCTGCTCTCCCCCTCCAAGTCAATGATAGAGATCATCGAAAAGATCGAAACAACTGTGTAACTGACACAACATCGACATGGACACCAGCTGCGAGGGAGCGCGAGCTACAGAGCAGAATCGTATTATTGAGAATAACACATGAAGATTTATGCTACATAGACCAATAGGACACAAACCCCTCTCTAACGCTTCAGCAGGGCTTCGCTGGGTTGTTTAGCTCAATTTGTTTTCCTGCAGGTGGCCGAGGACTGTACATCTGCGCTCACACACAGCCTCCCCTCTGTCCACATCCCCTGCATGGACTGAATTTCTAGAACTTATTATAATACAGGAGAAAGGCACAAGCACAAGAATATTAAGCACATGCATAGTGGACCAAATAGACCTCCTGTACGTAGTACTTACACAGACTAAAATCTAAAATACAAAAGGAATCAATAGTAAGTGCACTCAGAGGAAAGTAATTGAAAAAGTGAGACTTTATTTCAGAGATTTTTCTTTATGTATACATGACTGGAGCTGAATTTTGTATGAAAGGAGGCGGTATTAGGAGGTTTTCTGATGATAATGAGCAGTTAGATAATTGTAAGTGTTCTCCAGTTATTAATCTGGCAGTCAGACTTTCTTCTAATTCAACATTTAAGTGGCACAGAAGCGTGCTATTTCTTTTTCTCCGGTCAATGGCTCCACCCACATGTATCTGTAATTCTGACACTTCAGCATAATAACTACAAGGCCATCTACCTCTCATGGGGCCTAATGCACATCAGCCTTTTAACCCGTTAATTACTCAGCTCCGAGCTGCTGGGACGCACCTGCTTTTCACGTCATGTTAATAAAAAGATCCCCGTGCCCACGGTTTGTGCGCACTTTACTGACACCAACACGGGCAGTAGGTAGGTAGGTCAGTGTTCGACAATCAAGGATTACACAGAAGCACATTCCTATACTGTACCTGCCAGCGAGGGCCAAGGATACCCTTCTAAAACCATTTATCAGACATTAACACATTGTTCCGACCACCTTTTCTGGTCAAGCTGCAATGAACTGCAGTGCTGTTCAAGGTTAAATGGGGCGTTAAGCAAAACATGGCTTGTATTGACCTCTATTAGCAGCCAAGAAATTAAATAGCATGGACATGTTCCTGGCAGAGTGACAAAAGTAGGAGTCACGCTGTCACAGCAGAAAGACATCTAGTGAAGAGGGAATATATCTAATATATATAAATATATACATATAAACATATATAACAATAAAACTGCATTGTTACTTGCTTTTTGGGCTTGACGGTGAAATGTGTTGTGATGCCAGCTGAAAGGGGAGTCTTGGAAAGGTGTGCAGGCTAGACTAGTTTGTCACAGATTATTTTGTGCATTGGGGCAGGAAATGTCACTTAACGCACCTCTTAAAGGAGGTTACAGTTCGGAATAGGATGCCATATAGGTGTTGTGATGTTGTGATGGACATGATGTTTTGAGAAATGCACTCAAGTATAAAATTTGTGAGACAGCCCCTTATTAGTCAGTTAGTGAAATGAAGATGGGCTGGGTCTTTTTGGATTTTTATTTTAATGTTTACAGAGTTATTTCCTGGAGAGTTATCTGCAAAAATCACTGAAATATTCACAAGTATATATTGCTGCAATGATACGCTAGATGTTAAAAGTCATTTTGCATGACTGCATTAATTTGCAGAAGTCCCTCATGTCAAAAGCCAATTTAACAAATTTGTGATTCAGAGTGTTCAAGCAGTGAACAAATCTGTATGTCATTCTATTAAATTGTTTTTTTCTTTTTTTTTCAATCCAGGGACAGCCCTTGACATTACACTGAACACAGTCCCTATTAATGCAGTTTAAACATCTGTTATGTTCTTATTATTGTTATATTATTTTCATATGAATAAATCTTAAAGAAACTCACACTCTTTCTCCCCCCGGTTTGTCTTTTGTAGCCAGTGTGGGGCATTTTTTTGCCAGAGAGAAATCTTTAAAAAGCACTCAAACTTCCTACACCTGACACACAGATGACTAATGCTCTCCAGAGACTGAGCAGAATAGCAAAGCAAAGTGAGAAATATACTAAAATTGAGTCATTACTTTAGCTTTGGTTGTTTGTCTCCTTGGAAATGTCTTGACGAATGTGCTTTGTTTCTCACATTCCCTCCTTTGTAACCTTTACTTTCTTACACGGCACCACCATGAAAAAATTACAATAAACCAGGTGGAAAACAAAACTGAAGAGAGAGGAAGAGGATGACCTGCATATCAATTTTAGCATTGCATAGAATCATTATAGTGAGAGAAATACAATACGGGGTAGCACCTCCACCTCTGACCTCCATGCTTCCTCTTATTGATCCGCAGCGATAGAGACAGTCCGGCCATGTCCTCTGGGTCTCTTTCCCAGACAGTCTTCGTCTAGCAGCTGATTTTATGAGAGATCATGCAAGCACCTTTCTCACTTTGACTTCCAGCCCAGATTGATTTCTTCATACTTCTCTTTTCCCGCTGCATTGTGTCTATTGATTATTTGTGCTCCGCTAGTGCTAAGAAAAGGCTGGGATGAAATGTTAATCACTGTTTTTTTTTCCTTATAAATGTACACTCATTATTCTGCTAGGTGATGAAGAGGAGGAGTTTGCAACTGGTTTCTGGAGAGCCTGGATAGCAACACAGAATGGGAGAGGAGAAGAAAGTGGGAGCGCATGGAAGGAGTGTAGGCAGAGGAAGCTCAATTAAAAGGATGATGATGCAAGCACGTGTAAAGCCTTTGGACAGACTTGCATGTGTGGATGCCGGCACACAGAATTGGGGGTAGTTCAACATTTTGATATAATTTTTTTCAAGAGCTACAGAAAGATTTCATGAAGAGATAGATCGCTGTTACTGTTAATCCCTCGCAGCAAAGTCATTCAGTTGGCAGGCACCTTGAGCAGTGGAGAACTCTCTCTCTCACACACTCTCATACTCACACACACTCACACAGAGGAAGATACACACCGAATCAAAAAACGCCCTTGTTCAAGGACTGCTTCACAAGCACTGTTGGCACAGCACAAGTCACACAAGCTGTAGAGAGATGTTGTCAGTGCCACTTTCTCTTTCGTTTGATGTGTGTACAAACACATTACCTTCCTCAGGAGGTTTCCTTTTAATTTCATACAATTGCATTTTCCCTCCAGAGGCCAGTTATTAGATGAGCATAAACCCAAATACTCTGAGGAGATTTTAAGTGATAAAACGAAAACATGGAGTGCCAGCGGTACCTCATCTGAGTGAAAGGAGAGGCATTAGGGTGAATCAACGAAAAACATTTGCTTTAATGGCATTGCTGTTACTAATTTTCAGGTAGATGGAATAGATGCAGACAGTTAAGTATTCACATAATACCTTATTGTGTCCTCACAGACTCATCTTACGGTATGTCTTAAACCCTTAAATGCATGCTTCAGTCTTTAGAGGCACCTTTATTCATTAATTTGATTCAGTTAAAGTTGCTTCTATACCTCAAACTATTGTTCTAAACAATATACTGCAGCAAAAATGTTAAAAAAAAATCTTATTTTTCTTTGCTTTTCTCTAAAAAGTTGTTTGAGTTCAAGAGAGGCACAGTATGTAAGCGTATGGTACAATATGCAGGTAGCAGGTAATGTTGTGTTTTCCTGTTTCACCTCATTTTGGCCTCACTGTGCACACAATCATTTCACAAATGCCACGAGACAGTGACGGTGATTTGGGATTTATGTGCTGACTGATTATATTTGTAAATGCCCGTCATTGAGCAGTAATAGTATGGCCAACAGTTATTGATCCGTACAGTGGCATGTAATTATCATCTTAAAATGTCAAAAATAAATCAGAAATGGCAAAAGCATTTATTACCTCAGGTATGTAGTAATATTGGCCAAAACATCCATCCATCCCACTGTCATTATATTATTGTTGTTGAAAGGAGCTGTATGCAACATTCACAGCGTATCAGAGGAGTCAGAAGTTGTCTGCACATGGCTCTCAACATGGAGGCCACTGAGCTGGCAGCTAGCAGCTAACAATGCTAACTGAATAAACATTGCTAACAACAGCAACAGTGCTGACAGAGCTAACATTGTTACCTGGGGAGAAACCAGAGGGTGGGTGCTACACCTCTGTGACACTGCCAACCTGATATCAGCGGTAACCTACATGAGTGCAGTGTAGATTGGTGCCGAATATCTAGCCAGTGGCATCATAGATGGATGATGCACCCCTAGATATGCCAAAAAGTTCCTAGCTTCCCGACAGGTCACAGATTTTTAAATCGCTTTTCTTGGCTTTAGGAAAGTTTTACAAATATAAAACAACATGGTTCAAAAATTCATAATACAAAGAGTCATGATTGAACTTATCTACAGTTCGAGTTGTCCTATCACCAGATGTGTCTTTTACAATGATGGCCCCAGGGAAAAATCAGGTTAAAAAGACAAAGATAGTTAAAAGCTAAAGCTGAATTATAGGCTACAGATCACAGTGTAAAAGTGAACCAGCACATCACTGCTGATCGCCACAGAAGACAATGAATATAAAGGGAAAGTTCACCTATATTGAACCAGCTGTGTGTCATCGCAGTGTGTGCAGATGAACGGTGTTTGGCTTTGTCCCCTTGCTGCTGCCAACACCCAGAACTCTGCTGCCAGATGGGCAGGGATCTCAGTCAAACAATGTTCCACTGCGCACAATGCGATGACACACAGCTGGTTCAATATCAGCTAGTGTAATAATCATTAAAAAGCGAAAGCAGCATGTGTATACATTCAATAGGCTATATCTTCAGTAGCTAGCTAGCTAACCCTACACTTTTCAGGGTTTGATTTTGGTTTTGGAACAGGGAAGAAACGTATATCTTTTTCCAACCTCTCCAGGTAACGAGTATCATTAATGCACGACGTGCCCCAGCACAACATTTAGCTCCAAATCCACAAAACCAGCCTGAGAATGAAGGAAATCTGTAACAATTGCATTAGAGTCAATGGAGCACAGCTGTGTGTCGTTGGACCCTGGTCTGAGACAGCACGATGCTACGTTACGATTGGCCAATCTGTGTCCAGGGGCGGGACTTATCAAAGGGCCAGTTGAATGCAAGGCTGAGCACAAGTGGCAACCTCTGAGGCTGAAAAATGAAGCCATTGTGTGTGCCAGAAACTGCAGCTCCTCAAAGCGAGTCTATCATCATCGACTCCCATCTTCAAATGCCCAACTTTACAGCAGAAATAAACATGTTTACAGCCAGGCACAAGAAATGGTTTTGGCCTCTTCAGCTAATTTCAACACTCAACTGTACAGGGGCTGAATTTTTGTCTGCTGATAGTGTCTTCACTTCTCAGTCAGATCTACCCCTTGATCCTCCACAGCACCAGTCTCTTGCCCAAATATGGTCATTTCTGGCTCTAAAAAACCAACATGGCAATGGCTGAAATGCCAGACTCGAGGCTTCAAAACAGCAGTTCACAGTGGGTGACCTCATGGTAGCTGCGTCCATTATTTCTACTGCTCTATTTCTATTCTCTGCTCAGGACACTACTATATCTTTACTTGGCAAATAGTGGTTTGCTGCTATGTTAATGTTCTGAATGTTGTACAGAGCTCCTTTAAATCCACATAATTTTATTTCGAGTTCTAGTAAACATCCCAGATTTTTGGAAAATGTTTATAAAACAATGCACCACATTTCATTAAACATCATATATGGAGATATACTGTATATATATATATATCATATATACATATGTATATATGAGGGCGGCACGGTGGTGTGGTGGTTAGCACTGTCGCCTCACAGCAAGAGGGTTGCCGGTTCGATCCCGGGTGTGGGAGCCCTTCTGTGCGGAGTTTGCATGTTCTCCCCATGTCAGCATGGGTTCTCTCCAGGCACTCCAGCTTCCTCCCACAGTCCAAAAACATGCAGATTGGGGACTAGGTTAATTGATAACTCTAAATTGTCCGTAGGTGTGAATGTGAGCATAAGATTTTTCCAACTTCAAAGGTCCTTAAAGGAGAGTTAACGGGGGAAACCAGAAGTTAAGGGGTTAACATCATTTATAATTTGACAGCGCACCTCATGAAAATCCATATCAGCTCCCTACAGGGATCCAGCACTATATTGCAGGCATACAGCTTCCTGATATAGCCGGCCTCTAATCTGAGACATTCAGAGCCAAACTTCAACAGCAGCACTCCATCAAAGGGTCATTTATATGTCCAATTTACAGCATAATGTCCCCGTGATTGGCCTGATGCAGGCGGTGTGCAGGTAACGGGGGGACCACCAACGGGCTGCTGATAAACAATCAGACACATGGCTTTGCCTCGGCCGTGCTCAATGGCTGATGGGTTTCTGATAAGCTCTATAAACGCAAGAGTGTCACCTGGAGTGCAGCTCCGCACTCCCAGCCTGTAAAATATTCATTACTTTTTTCCGTCACTGTCTGCCCTCGTCTTTGAAATGGATTTAGAGCACTTTCTCCTTTTACACACAGAGCATGACTTTCTCTGTGGAAACTCCAGACAACAGCTTCAAGTTTTTACTGCGGATAGACAGGGCTGTTTGAAAGTATTCCCTTTTTGTTGCTTAAAGCTACTTGGTGATTCATCCTTTCACTACTTCTGCTGAAGAGCCTGCAAGTGCTTTTGTGTGATGGCAGAATGACTCACAGTGGTGCACCGTAATGTGATTAGTTGGCTTTGTTGCTGTGGATTAGTCTGTATTAGATGATGATTCTGTAGGTGCAGAAAGTGCTGGATGAATTATCACATTTTGCACATAAAATTTGCAACACCTGCTGCACGTTTAAAATACTGGGCTTTCCATATCTCACTCAACGATCCTGAACTAGTTCACATTTACACAATATTTCCCAGTTAAAACACATGCTAATTGTCTTCTTGC